ACTGAAGTATCGGCAAAAAGTCTTGTTACATATTTTTCGATTTCGCTCCCATCTGCTCAGAGCGTGTAATGCGCGATAAGGAACTCTGTTCCAAAAACCTTCATACAAGTCTATTAGTTTTGGGAACTTACCTTGAATTCTGAACAGTCTTTTATAAATAATCTACCTCTAACACCTATCCCGTCAACCGTTTTCCCCTCAAAATAATCACGATCGGAACAACACGAGTGTATTGCGTATTAGCCATACAATACACTCGTGTTGTTTTGTAATGAAAAAAAAAACAGCCTAGTGACATAAAAAAACTCTTTATTTTTTATCGTAGTTTGAAATATGTAACACTTAGATAGCCGCAGTGAAGCACCGCCTCTAATAAGATCACGTACAACGCTCGCCATCACGACGATATTTTGACCAGTTATGTGTGTTTTATTGCTGGCTGTGTCGCTGGCTGTTAGTAGAAATTCAAAGTCTCGTTATTGGATAGGAACTGATCGGTTACAAATTATATCAACTCCTTATTGAACTCAGTGTCTTCTGAATACCAGTATTCTAGTTTAGTTTGTTTTTACGATTAATGTTCAAACATCAAATAATTCACTGAACTAACGATAACAATAAAGAACTGTAAAAGAACTTCACTATTTTCAATAAAAAAGCAAAGAAAATAGGTTGACAAACACAGAAATGGGTACTTACTGAACTGTTTTGTAAGGCTAATAAGGATGTGTGAAGTGGGTCCAGAAGTTATAGACTGAGATCTACGAATGAACTGTTTGGAATCATGTTACATTATAGTTTCGATCGAAGTTCATAAATAACACAAAATTTTAATAATGTGACGAAGACGTGTCAAGTGGACGAATTCCCTGTAGTCGGAGTAGTGGTAGTAGGTCGGAAGGAAAAGTGCAATAAATGTAAGTGTTCGTAATACGACTATTGCGTACGGTATTTATCACGTCAAATTAGTTCACTTTTTGTTAAATGTTGAACGCACAATTTCAACGTTAGACTTACCTATCGTCCTATTCTTTTTCTTTCATTGTTTGGATACACATTTAAAATACAAATAAACCTGAAAATAGTAATAAATCTGATTTTAAGTTCCCATAAGATTTTATTTCACAAAGGGTAAAATACTTTATTTTGGATATATGTAACTTCATAATTATATGTGTGTCAATTTTAAACTAATGATATACCCGGAGGTAAGAATTATCTAGTATCTTTGTAAAAGAACTAGATATTTCTCATTTCATTGAAGTTATGAGGACATGATTGGTATTTAATATAATATATAATAATATATCTCACACATTTCGCAGTCAGGGTTTCACTTAGCAGTCAGGGTCACTAACCACTAGACCAACACGCCCGTCATATTTGTATAAACATACCTACTAAAGTCTACTTGCTAAAACATATCAACCGTTACTGCAAAAGTAATTATAGAAAGTACAGAATGACGTCAATGTACCTAGACTTTCAGTAAGACTTTTCATGTGACCGTCCTCGGAGCGCTGGAAACAAATTTGTTTTTAGAGGGCGCGAGGGAGTTATTTTCTTCTTTAATTTTAAATGATGGGCAGATGGTGGACTTCAAATTGATTAAAAGGATACATTTTAAATTAATTTAGTGATGTAATTACTTAAAGTAAAGCAGATGGGTAAGTGTAATATATTTTACTTAATTAGATAATACATATGTGTGCTCAGGTGATAGCTTGCGCATTATGCACACGTACTAAGTTAGTAGCAAAGTCTGAGTTCAAATTGGACGGTTTACTTATTAAAGGAGTGCAAGACTTCAAAAGTTGTTTGCACAGCTTGTGAATAGCGGTACTGAATTGAGGTACCCAAGACAATAATAAGATGTCAGTCGGCCAACTAAAAGACAAATCATTCCTTTCAAATAAGGTTAACTGTACTCGACACTGACGACTTACGAGCTTGACAGACGAACAATTGCCTGAATGTAAGTGTCGATACAGAGTAATGAACCTCCTGTTAAATGAAACTTTCACAGAAGTGCCTATGTTTTATAATTTAATTAATTTTGTTTTGTTTAAAGTAGACGTATCATCTAATGAAATTTCTTATCAGTTCCTATAAATTGGAAATAGTTCAATGTCTAGTTATACAAATTGTTAATATTATGGTATGTGGTATGTAAACTTTCAAATACCGCAATGTTAATGTTTATAAAAGAAAGTGATCACAAAAGGCTCATTGACAACTTTCTTTTCTGGTACCTTTTGAAAGTAAAATGATTCTTTTCTCGGACCCGCTTTCTGTATTCATCCACTTATATTTTTCACATTAACTTTTTATGTTGCGTACATTTCTTTGAAGGGTTTTATTAATTGTTTAGATTAGACTTTCACCACACCAAGCATTCGCGTAAGCACATTTAATTTAACGTATACAATTTTTGTTACAGACCAAGGTTGTAACACTACATACGAGCAATGCTTTAATTTACAGAGTATACTGAATCAGTTTGAATATATTTAGTGTTATCTCATAAAACATTATTTTATTTTCTTTATGTATTTTTATTAGTTGGTGTTTTAAACGATAAAAATGTTTGAGCTCTGAGGCCGACTAGTGGTGGAATTCGTTTTAGCAGTAGCCTTGAAATATAAGTTATGGGATTAAGACTTCTTAGAGATGAACGGCATAAACTTTTAAAAACTAGCATGAGACTGGTCCAATGACAGTAGCCCATGGTCAGGATGTTTCAGAAGTGCATTTTGAGTGTATGCTCGGTCTTAAGGACAGCTGTAAACAAGACGGAAATAAATTTATGGTCTAAACACTAAGTTCTTAAATATTACTTTAAAAGCTCACCTTGGCGTGCTTACCCATTGAACGACGAACAACAAATCTCGTTAATTTTAATTATAGAAGATTAACTAACATCAAATTTAATTATGTGTTAAACCTTAATACACTCTACCTTATGAAAAGTCCGATAAACTACGTCTATTATTATCACTACATTGCTTGTGTAATACGCAGGTTTACATTAAGCGTTTATTGTAGTGTAGAAATATTGTAACTGTAAAGGTTTTGGAACCATGCAGTATTTCTGTACTTCTTTATCAATTGACACACTATCTTTATCAATTGATACGCTATTCAGAATACTTACATTTTGAATCATAATAAATAAATTAGGTATATATTTAAATTAATGGCTTTAAATATCTATCTCACAGTTTAATTTAGAGAGTTTAGCAGACATGCAAACAGGGGTTATTTTTGTGCAAATAGAAGATTCACATTTAAGTCGAAAGTCAGAGCTCGCATTCTGGACACCCCAGCAGATTCATCACAACTATAAAGTTTTATAATTTTTTTGTGTATATTTTATGTCTGTACAATGTAACTCATAAAAAAAATGTGTATGTGTTTCTTAGTATGTATTTATAAATATCTGTCCATCTCCTCAACTAAGTATAATTATTATCTTTTTTAAACAAAACTTAATTTCTAGTGCATCCACTCAGACATTTCCTCACCACCCAAAGGTTGACTGAGAGAAAATGAGTTTATCTTGAAAATATAATATTATATTTCTCCAATTTTCTAAAATAAAATAGAATACAATACTTAGGGTAACAGTCGCAACAAATATATGTTAGCCGACCTTTTACCGACCATCTAGCAATAAAAAGCATAATGCAAACGGGCATCTCGACAGGTCTGACAGGTTTTTGTAATATAGGTAAGTTAAAAATAGTTACATTCTTCGCGACGCATCTGCTTTTGACACATTGCTTTAACTGCCTTTTTTCATCATAAATCGAATATTTTTTATATTTTTAAACATATTTTAGATTGATGTTTGAAGGTAATCGTATTAAGGCTAATCATATCCAGTCACCTTGTATTGAGTAACTCGTGTTTCAATAATTACTGTGGCAGTTCAACCATAGCTTCAGTAACCAGTAAGGCTTTGTCTAGCGTTTAAGAACAGCTTTACTGACACCAATTGTAATAACTACATTCTAACCTCGCATACATTATATTTCATTGTCCCCATTACTGAATGATAGGGTCTAATTACTGTAATAATGTACTGTTCATATTTACATGCGATCACTTGATTATATTATGTTTGCCGTATTACAGAATAATTATTATATCGTAGCGTAGCATATTTTACACTCAATCATAAGACTTTACAAGTCTCTCGATCCTAAAAATGGATAACGTGACCTTACCAGATCAAAATATTGACGTGAGTCCACTTTTAAAATTGTGATGGTCCGTATCATTGAATTGTAAATGGTCTAATCTTGAGTATAATTATAAAATATGAGTCGAGGAATATTATAATATTATTTTTTATATGATACTAAATTGTACGTAGGTACATATTAGTTTAGTTGACTTGACTTGTTGATTACTGACATTAAATTGAAAACACAAGGATGGCGAGGAATGATTTAAAATAACGATTGTATAAATCATACACAAATAATAAACCAAGGTATTATTTTGAATCAAATTAAAATTTATACGTTCTTTTTTTAATTTACATTTGAATAAACTTTGTAAACAGTTTTTAAACTGTCAAAATAAATGTTATGAAACTTTAAATTTTGTCTCTTCAATAACGATTTCCATACGATTTACAAATCAAAAATATTTTATTTTTTATCTTGTATATTAATAATATTTAAGATCTACATTTATAATTACACTTGTAATTCAATACTAAATCTAATACTCTGTCAATCGCAGCATCCCAACCGTTCAGTTAACGGCATCTTGAGCTTGAGCGTTCGATCACAGCCACTTCATATAAATAACTTAACAAATAAGTACAGTCTATGGTATCGTACGAGTATTGTCGAGGGTTATGCCCGCGGCGTTTATCTTCGTACAGTATTATGTTCATAATCTATGGTTCAATTGTAGCACCAGTGTAGCCATAACATTTGATGAAGGTATGCACTGGCAGCGGGACACAACTATGCGCGGACGGGCGACTAGCCCCATCGACGGAAGCGGGTATAGCTCGGCATTGGCAGGTATGGATACCGAGCTGGCACCCTTACGTTTTCAAGGTTATATCCTCGTCGTTGTCGCACCAGTTCCGGACTCACTTCGCTGTTTGTCTGTCTCTTCGTAGGGCGCACTATTCTTAATACGTTAGATTCTAGTATCACATTATCGATGACAGCATCATCAGGAGTCGGTTTCGTAATTAGTTTCGCTTTGTTCTTTTGTGTGGCTAGGTAGTCCGGGTTAAGTATGTAATCCTGAACTTTAGGCACTAGGTTGTAACGGGCGGAGTCTATTTCTCTCTCGAAACCGAGGCGATCTCGGGGCGAGGACAGAGCCGGCGCGGCGAGCGCGATGACAAGCGCGAGGAACGCGTGCATGATGCGGTGTGTGTGGAGTGTATGAGCCGCGAACGACCAACACATTTTTATATATACCTACAACCGATCGATATTCGTGCCCAATTTATGTAGGTACTTATTTATTTTTTGTGATCGTTATACGCGAGACGCTCTTGAACTTGGTAGTGGGATGCGGTTAATGGTCGCGGGTCGAAGGTGTATTGCCTGCTTGCCGGACCGCAATACGACTGGCTGCGTATCTCGATGCAATTACTTGTATAATTTGATGCACCGGTGACTATGAACCCTCATGAACCTTGTTCTACTTACATTAACCAACATTAAAAGAAGCTCGCAGAGGCACAAGGAAACCGTTACATAGTTGAAGTAATCTACGATTGTTTTCCTTTTATGTGATAGGGTAACAATCCTATGCTATGCTGTCCTAAGTCTTGATTCACTAAATCTAAATGACTTTTCAATTTAGGAAAGTTTCAATTAGTTGTAGTAGTTCATTACGTGTAGGTGTTACGCACAATGTTAAAGGGACATGTATACCAATCATTGGATCATTAATTTAAACAATAAACAAGGAAAAATATTTAACGCGCGAGCGCCGCAAAGTCCTGTGGAGCTCTATGTCCCTGTTAATTGGCGTGAAACTAGTTGTTTCTTTTTCATTGTAGCAAAAGAATATTGTATTTCACGTAAATTGAAGACTCAATTACGTAAAAGTCAGTTACATTTTCAGATGTTTGATGGTGGTTAAACTATGGTAAAACTGTTTCATGATCTATTTTATAGTTATTAAAAACGAACTATATTCAAATATTAGAACCAATACTCACAGACGAAAAACGATACGTCTGTATCTGTAACAAGTCTTGAATTCCCTTTAGGTAGTAGGATGTTTTAAAGGCATGAAATAAATAATTGAAATAAATAATTGTAATATAAAGTAGGTAGGATGCTTTTATTTAACAACTTAGTTGCATTGTTGTTTAGACAAAATTCTAACCACGCTTCAATATTAATTATTTGAAAACAAAAATAAATAAAAAATCAAACTTCGTTGAAACTTCAAGCTATGAAAGAGGTAAGAGTATTTTATATATTTAAAAGTTAAACGCAGTGCAGAGCATAATAACTTCAAATTACACATTTACAGACATACGACTCAGCACGACTTGTTCAAGGATAATGAAAAAGACAATAGTAAGATATTAAGCTTTAAGCATCAAGGTACTTTAGTATGCCATCTTATGTTACATTATAATTTTACTTAACGTAAAGCCCTCATATTCCTCGATCACATCTCTCGTTGGCTGGCTGGTTTTGGTATCCGACATAAACATAAATCGTAGTGGATTACACTCCCTTGCATTTTTTATCTATTCTTTTTATAAGTAGATGCGAAGTATCCGATGAGATGACACAAAGCACAGTTTTACACAGTTTTTACGAATTACGCACTAGGAATTTGAAACATTTAAAGGTTTCAAATTTATGAATTAAATGTCTTTACTAACTGTGATTAAAACCTACTATGTAAGGATTAGTCTTTTTTAAATATTATTATTCAATTAATATACGACTTAAATATACAATTTACTACTAGTTAATACATCGGTGCAGCGCGTGTAGATATGATAATCCGTACAATCACAGTAATGAATAGCGAACCTGTTGAGCTGATAATTATTGAATGAAACGATGTGAGCGCTATTAAGAATATTTTTACATATTATACTTACGTTACCCTTATTCTGACCATATTTGTACTCTGTGAAGGGATCCTTATGTCCACTTCTATAATTTTCAGCTATAAGACCACAAATTATTGCTTACCACAGATTATAATTATGTTCCTTTATAAAAGTATGTTTGGTTGTACTAGCACTGTCTGTGAAATTTGTTAAAACACAGTTAATAAGTATAGTTTAGGATTAAAAATTCTTGAAACAAAAACCTTATCATCTTTGATACCACGTTGATATTGAACAGTATGAAAATTTACAAAATAACTGTATAGAAATAAATCAAACTTCGTTGCAACTTGAAGTTATCAGAGGTAAGAGTACTCGTACTTTTAGAATGGACATTTATTCAGTACTCTATATTGTTTACACCTGATAGATTTTAATGCCGCGCAGATTTAGTGATGCGTCACTTGCAGTTAACCTGTTTTATGTACAATAAAACTAATCGAAGTAGAATGAACGGCAAAACGTGCTTTAGTGCAATCAAATTCAAACATAGATTGCATAACACCTTTCTTCACCCCTATTTTATATTATATTGACAGGTCTGTTGGCCTACTGAGTAGTAAACATGAGTGCTGCCAGACGATGTAGGTCCGATTCCAAACCTGTACAAACATTTGTTCTCTCTCTGGGTATATTTTTAATAAAACGTATTTATTAAGTATGTCTATTAACAGTCTGATTATCATAATACAGAGACTTTGTGTGATCCACAAATTGTTGTTCTGAGTGTTGTGTTTGTAAAGTTACCCGCGACACAGGATATATTACTAATGCTAGTCGTCTTAAAAAAAATGCAATAAAATATACGTAGGAATAAAATATAAAATGCACCTTTTTTCTTTTACTTTATTGTTATTAATATTTAATATTTAGACATTTTTAAATCTCTAAATCTGGACAATGTTATAAGTAGATGCCTAAAATATGTAATTTATAAATGTTAAGTATTGCATACCGAGAGGCTGATAATGGATATCAAAATAATCATTGTGCCTACCCATTTTTGCAATCAAGTAATCCGGACAAAGTAAAGTAAAGTAAAGTGCGAGTCGGACTCGCCCACTGAGAGTTCCTTTTAAGTACTTTCCTGTAGGCACTTTTTTCATTCTTCGTCATAAACCGAAAGTATACATCATGATAATAATAATTCAAAATTGGTTTAAGCTTGTTCATACGATACCACACATGACAAAATCAATTCAATCAATCAAATCAGTTCACTCAATTCAAAATTAACTTGCATAAAGACTTGTTATTTAATTACAAATGTATAGTTTTCAGATTTTTCCTTGTACTTGTAGTAAGACGGTATTACTTGCCAAATTTCATAGTTCTAGCTCAACGGAAAAAACCCCTTAAATTTTGATTCCCTTGAGAGTGTCGAAATATACGTTTTTTAGAACGTTAACTTAAAAGTTTTTTTTCACAGCTTCAAGAAACTTTAGACCTAGTATATCGTTTTAATTTCAACGCGTTCGAGAGATACAGTGTCTTGACAGACAGACGGACGGACGGATAACAAAGTGATCCTATAAGGTTTCCGTTTTTGCTTTTGAGGTAACGAAACCCTAAAAAGGATCAATGGGCAGATTTTATAATACAAATTACAAATTTTGTATTACAAAATACAAATAATACTTGGGTAACAGTTTTTTAAGTGTTAAATAACTTAACACAATGGCCTGTCTGAGAAGATACGATTGCAGTAACCTATAAACATGCGGTTCTGCATTCTCTATTCCAAAATATGAACTTAGTACTCGCTATATATCTTGAGAGTATCATCAATGAAAGAAGTAATATAACATTATATTGAACAGTATATGACGAATATGCCATCCTAGCTCAGAACCCGATAATACCGTGGCACCTCAGGCTTTGTTTTTTGCACTTTTGACTCTCAATTTTACAATAAATACTCTCATACGAATAAATATTAAGTACCCGTTTTTTACGTGGCAGTGCTGATACATGAACATTTAAGAATCAAATTACCGAGGTTGTATACGAATATATGAGTGTAGACGTTTTTCGGGCTTTACTTCTGTAAAGCATACAGGAAGCACATTACGAGTTGTCGACCTTCCAAGATCAGTCTTGCTCCGGTGATTACATAATAATGCTTAAAGATAATACAAATGTTAATATAAACATACACACGGTAAATAGAATTCATTTTCCACGGTGTGTGAGAAATCTTAAGTTGATTCACTACTATTGATACCACGATGTTAAAATTTGAACGAAAGTGGAGAGTCTGATTTATACGTCTTTATGTGAACTTTATTTAAATAGAAAAAATTTATGCTTCTTTAATAGTATTCATAGTGAAATATGCAACGTTATTGCTTAGTTTGATAATTTTATTGAATCGGAAATTTTATTTTATTGAAACAGATTAAGACTTTCGATATTCAAACTCATCGAAATTTATTGTTATTATATTGCATGGTATTGATATTAAACATCGGAAATGATATTCTAGTATTGATGAAAACTTCTGAGATAGATTTGATGGAGTAAAACATCTGTATTACTTAAGGTTGCTTAAGTACGTATAAGTTTATGCTGCTTTTTGTGCTATTTTTAAGATTAGATTGGAGTTACTCAGCACGTATTAGTCCGTTAGACGTCACATTGCCTAAGTGAGCCAAATCTGCAAGAAAAGCTGAAAATTAGATAATGCTTGTTATATTTAACACACTTATTACACGTGTTCTCCTCCTAATCTAAAACAGTTACGTTCTACTCTACATTTTATACAAAAATTACAGACCACAATTGATTTAATATCATTAAATAGCCGGCAATCATTTATCGTGCATGCATGTGCTTGTTAGCATTATTATCTCATTAATTTTGTCTATCTGTATTAAACGTAATCAGTGAACAGGTTTCGGATGTAGTTTGTACGGAAATATTTTTATTGAAACGGAAGTGAAGTTAACTTAAGAACATGTGGACTCAAATGTGTATCGAAGGTGGAAGCAGCCAAGGCGATAAGTTATAAACAAAGCACCTCGAATCCGTAATGGATTGGTTGCGACATAAAACTGAGGCTTTTAATACTATTGATTTTATCAAACACAGGCAATAACATTTTAAATAAGAGCAACGTTTTTCTGAGCTTTATTTCCTGTCTTTAATCCTAATCGATGTCACCTTTGTAGTTTTATAGTCTAATATTTTAAACATAATTCGATACTGTAGGTAACGCTACATATATATAAGATGGGTTCGCATTTTTTTAATCTTATTAAATTCACTTGTAACTAACTAAATAGCTCACTAACTATATAAACAAACTTTGGAAGGCAA